TGCAGAAGAGTTGACATTAAAAAGATGGAGCAAGAATCCTAAGACTACAGAAGTTACGCAACCACTAGATATCAATGACCCTTGGCCATTTAACGTTAGGTATGGGCTGCTGCAATTTTCAGCATCGCGGTTTTGCTTCCTAGGGGCAAATACAGTGGATACTTTTCAGTTTGCAAACAAGTTAATGGAAACTGCGTGTGACCAGTTGAACAACATGCAAACTGGTACTACTGAGAGGTCGACAATAGAGATACCAGAAGAATACAAAGCTGTAAAAAACCCAATGAAGGTAGCATATAAAGGTGGTAAAACTGGAAAACGAAAGAATCCGGACAAGAAGCATCGGAAGTGTGGTCGATGTGGAGGAGAACAACATTATAGAAGCACTTGTGATAAGCCTATGGGATATGTACGTCCTAAATCAACGGGGTCAGATGAGGAAAATGACTATGGAAATGAGGAACCAGATTATTCAGATAAGAATGGTCCAAGCAACCCACCACGGCAGGTGAATTCAATAGGCTAATTCCGTGAATTTCCGAATCTTACAGTGTGTTTATTTCCATACTTTATGATATCTTTGTATAATGAATCTATAGTTTCTGATTTTAACACTAGTTTTTTTTTTGTCATAGATAGGGAATGTTATAGATATTACAGGACACTTGACAACCACTGGCGACAGTCGACAAAAAGCCGAACTGTCGATGAAAGGGCACTAGAAGCCACTAAATGGGCAGCCCTGTTTTACAATCTCGGAGTAAAATTACAATCAAAGAAATTAAACAACGAGACCGCCGAACATATCTCCTCCAAGATCGCACCGCCAGTACCATGGGCCACATCCCTCGTCCGTATCCTGCGAATCAAAGGCTGGCAATCGCCACAGAAATTGACCGAAACAAAGCCATGCATGACACACCAATTAATCGCATCACGAACAGCTAATAATTCAGCTAAAAAAGGTTCAGACACACCTGGATAGTATCGGCCGAATGCAAAAAGCAACTGGGCGGTGTTGGAGAATCCGACGAACCCAACTCCGCCACCCACCTCTTTCTTCCACGCTCCGTCGAAGCGGACAAGGACACCATTAGGCTGACACAACCCAGCCGGCGGCGAGGTACTCGTTCCCTGGCCCGGTCTTCTCCCCGAACTAGACGCCCCACCCCCAGTCAGGTGAAGGGTCAAAGGCGCGGAAGCATTTAGCCACTCTTCCACCTGTGCGCGAAACTGACGTAACAGGGGTTCCCCCAAGTACTAGATGTGCTTATGTATTGCCCAACAACGTGATTTCCACACTCGCCAACAAAGGAAAACAACATTAGCAATCTAAGATTTGGACAAATGACATTCAAAGAATAAATCATTCCAACAATCAGAAGGCGGCAAACCCTCTAACCTCCTGCGTAGGTTGCCCAATCCAGTAAGCTCCCATAGCTCCATGGCCACCCGACAGTGGAGGAATGAGTGCGCAATAGTCTCAGCCCCGTCCGAACAAACCGGACACACATTCTCTGTCACCAGCCGTTTAAGTTGAAGCACAGCTCGGACTGGAAGGAAGCCTCTGACCACTCTCCACCAAAAACATTTCAATTTAGGTGGTAGGGGTAGACTCCACAACACCTTCCAGAACCTGCAATCATAAGGTAACGGGGAGGGAGGGTGCGCAGCCAATAGCTCATCGGTAAGAACATGGTAGCCAGTTTTTACAGTGTATTCTCCAGTTGAAGAATAGTGCCAGATGAGCTTGTCCGGGGTAACCTGCATCGGTAAAGGAATAGAGAGAATTAAAGCCACCGATGCTGGCACAAAAAGAGAAGTCAGCAGCTCAACATTCCAGAAGCGGGAAAAAGGGCAGATGACTTCTGAAACATAAATGGGACAGGAGGTAACGTGCGCCAGCAACACAGGAATGGACGGAGGGTTCGATGGGAGCCAGTTTTCAGCTAACACTTGCACAGTAGATCCATCCCCGATATGCCAACGAAGGCCGCGCATCAGCAGATCCCTCCCGGCTAGAACGCCTTGCCATGCCCAAGACGGCCTTGGACCCGAAGCCGCCTCCAAAAAAGAAGTATGGGGATGATATCTCGCTCGGTAGAGAGTTGCCAACGTGGAATCCGGATTCATTAGAACTCGCCCGGCTTGCTTCGCCAAGAGAGCAATGTTGAAACGTTCAAAGTCTCGAAAGCCTAACCACCCTGCAAATTTACTGAGACACACTTCCTGCCAAGAGAGCCAATGTATCCCGTCTTCTTTATCTTGATCAGCCCACCAAAACCTTGATAGCTGGCCATTCAACCTGCGACAAGTGTAGGAAGGAAATCTAAAAGCAGACATTGCATAAATGGCGGAGGCCGAACCAATAGACTTGATCACCGTTTCCTTCGCAGCCAAAGACATAGCTTTAGTTTTCCACAACCTGATCCTAGCTGCTAGGCCCTCCTCAACAAATCTAAACGTCTGAGTTTTAGACCTTTGAACATGAACTGGCAGCCCTAGGTATTTGTCAATCGAGCCCGAAGCAGCCACCCCCAGAAAGGAACCCAAGGCCAATCGTTCATGATCAGAAACATTAGAGCTAACACACAAAGAAGACTTAGTAAAATTAACTCTTTGACCACTAACCCTCTCCAACTCTTCAAGCACAGACAGCAAGTTAGCACATTCCGGAATTGAGGCTCTCAAGAACAGGTAAGTATCATCAGCAAACAATAAATGCGAAGTCAATGGCGCATGCCGATGAACCCGCAAACCATGTAAATTCGCATCCATGATCTCACAAGAAAGTTTAGCCGAAAAGGCCTCTGAATAAATAGCATAGAGAAGGGGCGAGAGAGGGTCACCTTGACGCAAACCCCGTTGAGGCCTAAAATACCCGTGAGAATGCCCATTAATTAGCACCGAAAAGGAGACAGAGGAGATACAAGCAGAAATCCAACGCCGCCATTCATAACAGAATCCCATCTGTTCCATAATCAGCAACAGAAACGGCCATTCCACACGGTCATACGCTATTTCCATATCCAGCTTAAGCGCCATCCACTTGTCTCGGCCCTGCAATTTAGTTTTCAGAAATTGCATAACTTCTTGACCAATCAGGATATTGTCAGTAATCAGTCTACCACGCACAAAACCATTTTGGGTGGAACTCACAACATAAGGTAAGACCACACTAAGCCTAGCAGCCATAATCTTAGCAATGATTTTATAGAATACCTGACACAAACCTATGGGCCGAATTTGTCGCATTGACTCGGCATTCAAGACCTTCGGCAGTAAGGAGATGAGAGTGTGGTTAAAGCTGTGTAGAAGCCGACCCGAGCTAAAGAAGCTTAGGACCGCATCCGTGATCAACGGCCCCACCACCTCCCAGTGTACTTGGAAGAACGCCGTTGTGAATCCATCAGACCCGGGGGCCTGATGACTGCCAATCCGGAACACTGCCTCCTTGACTTCCAGCCCCGACACCGGCGCTATCAGAGCAGCATTCATCTCCCTCGTGACTCTGCTAGAAATACCCAAGGAGTCCACATACGACGAGGCATCTACATTGGTAGATGTAAAGATCGATTGATAGTATGGAATAGCTATACCTGCCATGGCCTCCTCGTCATGTTGTAGCGATCCGGTCTCATCCTGTAGCCCTCTCAGCCGATTAAAGCGCTGTCGCTGAATCACCGTGCGGTGGAAAAGGTTGGTGTTGGCATCCCCTTCCCGGAGCCAACCCACCCTCGATTTTTGCCGCCAGAAGCATTCTTCTTCAATGTAGGCAGTCGATAGATCCCATTCTAGATGACGAATGCCATCCCAATCCACCATTGGTGCCTCCCGCAGATCCTCAATTGCCAACTTTAACTCCCTGATGCGCCGAGCCGAATTAGAAGTCCCCAATATCGCCCATTCCACCAGATCATGGCGGACCATTTTAAGCTGATTAAAAGCTCGGAACTGAACAGACCCGCGCAAGGGTTTTGCCCAGGCCACCTGAATTACAGCTAGTGCCTCGGAATTGGAGTTCCACCTCCCATCAAAATGGAATCTGGTATGCCGGTGATGACCCTGTTTAGTGAGCTGCACAACGAGCATCCTATGATCAGAGCCCAAGTCAGTAAGGTGAATTACCTTCAAGTCCGACCATTCTGCCATTACCGAGGTACTCCCAAGACACCTGTCCAATCGCTCGAGGATGTGTTCCCCACCAGCTCGCCTATTCGACCATGTGAAGGGTGATCCTTGAAAACCTAGATCAACCAGACCAGAAGATAAGATAAATCCATTAAGCTGATCTAATGCTGCAAACGAAGGCACATTCCCCCCCCCCCCATCTTTTCATTTGAAGACAAAAGACAATTAAAATCCCCCACCACAAAGGAGGGTAACGACACCGACGAGAGTAAATAGGCAATTTCATTCAACTGACTCTGCCGAACAGCAGCCTCACACGATAAATGCACAAACACAATAACTAGGTTCCCTACAGAAGGAATGACACACTCTACAAAGCAATGGAAGTACGAAAGTTGATGCACTGTACAAGACACATGGTCACCCCAACCAACAGCTAACCCACCACTCCCATTAGACGCACTAAAACACCTTACTGATTTAAAACCCTGACTAGCTAATTTGGACTTGACAAACTCATCTTCCCTTTTTGTTTCGCCGAGGAAGACCAGACTAGGCCAGAACCTCGCCACGGCTCCACCGAGAGAGGGAACTGTCAAGGGGGAGCCCATCCCCCGGCAGTTCCACACCATAAAACTCATGGGTGGGATTGGGCCCAGTTGAGGCTGGATGCCACCGCCTTGCCATGAAGAGAAGAAGTTGTCTCCGCCGATCCAGGACCTGCCCGGGCTCTTTTGGCTGCGGGAGAAGATGAGTTGGGGACAACGCCTGCAGAATAGGTGTCATCCTCCATCAATTGAGGTATTGCTGCCTCACTAGGACCCGACTTCGGCAGGGAAATCGCAAGAGATTGGAAATTGGACCCCATCCTACGCGGTGAGGGCCGCCGAGTATCGCGCCATTCGCCAAGAGTACCACCATCCTGTGCCAACAGCAGTTGGGGAGAAGCCTGGCGTGGAGGGGGTTCCCTTGAAAGGGCCGCTACTCCTTGATGAAGATGGGTGAGTCTTGGCTGCTCGGATCCAAGTGAACCTCCGACTGCGCCTGGAAAGGGTATCCTCCGTCACTGGTGACCATGATTCGGTGGCCACCGAGAAGACTCCGTACTTTGGGGTAACTCCAGAGAACTCCTTCTTCCTCGGGCAGTTCTCTCCAATATGCCCAATGACACCACACAAGAAGCAAAAGTGAGGAACCTTTTCAACTTTAACCAAAGCCACAAAGTTACCTCGATTCTGATCAACATGACCAGCAGCAATGGTGTCAGGCAAAGGGGCCGTGAGATCGAGGACTGGAGCCGCTCTAACATACAGCCCACCCGAGACATCCGAGCGGTGAAGCGTGGGAGGATCATTAAGGACCCCAAGAGAGGAACCCAACCGCCAGGCCATTTTCTCAGTGAAGCATTCGAACAGGACCTTCCAAATCTGCACCGCCATTGGGGCCCAGCGGAGACGATCAGCCACCGCAGGGGTCGGATCTTCCCACCGTGCCAGAACCAACATGAAGTTGTTGAAGATCCAAGGAGATTTGGTAACCACCTTGTGTAGGTCAGCCTTCTGCGAAAAGAGGAATTGGGTCAAACCCTCCTCTACGGCGGAAATCGTGAGTTCCCCTTTGTACCGCCACACTCGACACAGCATCATCCTCAGTGCATAAAGCGGCAGTGGGGAACCAATCAGTCGGCCGATCAGAGAAAGCTCCCCCCGGGCAAGCCCGGCCGCCAAGTCTTCGTCATCGAACTGCACAACTGCCATGGTCGGGGAAAACCAAATCAAGGAACAAGGAGCCGAGTGAGGGTAAGAAATTGTAATCCGGAAACTACCACCCCCCGTCGGCCAGAGCTTTATAGCCATGCCGCCCCGGAGATCCAGGCCCCGTCGCCGCACGACGGCGGAAAGCCCGATGGGCATAAGCGCACGAAGGCGGTTACCGACCCACTCTACCGAAAAGGGAGAGCACGATCGGGGGAGAGTTTTTTTTTTATTCCTCACCTCTCCAATCGGGATATAACACTAGTTTCTTTCATTTTGCTGAAGTGGCGAAAGACTAGGAGTAGTACCAAGCAGACTGAAGGTCAGTCCAATAACACTAATGGTATATAGAACAAAGGGGTTGTTGATGGTTCACGAGACGGACCTGGGAAGGTATTAGTTGTGAACAACACTACCTATGAAACAAATTAAATTCGTCTTCTATTTTTATTCTAACAACACTAACATTTTATACGACAGCAGAGGGAAGTAGCTACAAATGAAGAAGATGATGATGACAACAATGACGAAGAATGTAGCTGGTCCCCAAAGGTCAGCGGAATGACAGTACCCAATTTCTTAATGTCTCATACCTATTCATTATGAATTAGTGTGGTGACAAGTTTGGACCTTTTTTTTGTAACAGACCATGCCACGTACTAGAAGTGCTACTAAAGGTCACAGAGAGAGCGGAGAACCCAGTCAACGTTCACAAACTTATGTGCAACCTCCAACTGATGAGCCTCCTCAAGTACGTAACGCAACATCGTGTGTTCAAGTATAAATGATATATGGCTTAACTGTGTGATTATATATTTTGTGTTTGTTGTTACAGACGAGGAGACAGCCTAGAGATAATGGCAGGGGAAAGAACATCATCAACTAAACATGAAGTTGGCCTCTATCTATGCTTGTTTAGCTTTCTGTTTTTTTTATGGATTTGGATCTGGAGAACAAAGATTACCACATTCATTGAAGAACAAAGATTATAGTATTTCAAGATAACAACATCAGAGCTCTTGCATTTATATATGTTGCTTATAATTAATAATGGAACATACCCGGATGGGTGGAACATGTCTGCCAAACAGAACTCCCTCTTGCATTAGAGGATTGACTCGACCTGCTTCATCGACATACAAAAGTCCCTCTTGCATCATGTAAATGGCTAAAGTATCAGTAATTGACTGTGTAAGTAGGATAGTGTAGCAAAATTCACCGTATTAGGGTCCCTTTCCTACTGCAGTATTGCTTCATTCTTTCCCACAGCAGCACTCGAACCAGCCTATGTAGTTAGACCGCTTACATAGTTTCAGTGTTTTAATGATGATAACAGAACCTCTATAAAAAAAACTAATGGGAAGAGCCATCGATTACCATTCACAGCCAACAGGAGATAGTAGGTACTAACTTGCAGAAACTTGTTGAAACTTCTTGTCGATTTGCAAAATAATTGCCTTGCTGCTCAAGGAACCACCATTCTGCAAGTCGATGCATATATGAGACTCGAGTTGATCCATTTTCATAAGTTAGCTGGGGAAATGATGAGAAGTTTCAAACGAGGCACACGCGACTAAGCATTCACTAGTTCTATTCAAAAGACTGAGAAATATGTAGCATTAGCAACTCACCAGAACTGGATGTCCAATTACACTGTTCGAGACATCAGATTTACTAGGACTCTTAACAGATGAAAAAAACTGAAATAAATAAATAGCAATGTGAGTTAGAAGTAAACTAAGAAAATACAAAATGCAAAGACATCAATGAAATCAAAGTTTAGACAGAAATGAAAAGACACAAAAGCAAAAGGCTTCCCCTGAACCAGAGACAGACACTCGGCATATCTCCCTGCGTTAAGCAACTTGGACTTGTCGCTCCAGGAATGAGCATGACACCACAAAACTTGGACATGAGTTTCCTGAAAAACCACTCCGAAGTTCAGCAGTTAACTGAAAAACCACTCCCAAGTTCTGTGTTCACGAGATGTTCTTGATTACTAGTGTTGATTCAGATGGTTAACACTTACCTTGGTAGTTCCACATGAGTTTCCTGAAATTATCTTCTCCTTCAAGTAGGCAATGGAAAACACCTCTCCATTCTCCCAGCAATCAACCTCAACCAGTTCTTTGTTGTTCCTCAGTTCCTCGTGAGAGAAAACAAACCCAAGAAATCAAAATTGGAACCTTTGCAGAAAAGTTAACTGAAACTGCTTCCCAACTGTCTACAAGTATAAGAGACGTACATCACTGTTGTCTCTCCCCTCTGCGAGAACCTTGAGAACTTCAAATCCCAGTGGACACGAAAGCAATGTAATTATTCAAATCTTGTAGCCCTCTGAATAGGGGTGGCTATTTGGACCAGGACCGGATTAAAAATCGGAAACCGGACCGTATAACCCGGACCGAGATCGGACCGGGACCGGATAGTAAACAATCCAATCCAATCTTTGGGCTTAGATTTGAGGTAAAAAACCGGATAAAGACCGGATAAGAGAGCTCAACACCCAAAACTTAAGGGTAACTTGCATAAACGGTCACAAACCTTTGCACTTAGTACAAAACTTAACCAACTCCTCACCCTTTAAGGCCTTAGGCCACTCAAATCCCACAGTATCAATGTAAAATCAAGACCGAATTGGGACCGGACCGGATCAAAACCGGGCCGGATCAAGACCGGACTGTATCCAATCCAATCTTCGGTCCTTACATTTTCAAAAAGACCGGACTGGACTGGATCAATTTGGGCCAATTTAACTGGACCGGACCGCATAGCTACCCCTACCTCTGAAGCTATAATGGCGACACCCGAAGAACTACGCAGTTGCAATTTACCCCCTGTGAAATACCAATCGAAAGACACCTCCTTAACAACCCGAAATTCACATGAACTACGCTAAAATCATAAACTTAGCCCTGTCAAAGGAAAGAGAATTAACCATTTCTGGAGAGCAAGAAAGAAGCAGCGGCCGCAGCTAGTTCGATGTTGCGCAGGAGACACCTGCAGCCGCAGCTAGTTCCCGTGATCGGAACCAACTGTAGTCCCACCGCCCGCAATGGCGGAGTCGAACAAAGGCGATGAAAAATAAATTAGCATAATTTACACAACGCCAATCACGAACAAAGACGCACAAAGAGGTACCTGATGTCCACTAGCCCCAAATCTCGTTGGAGGGTGAGAATCGTACTTGGCATAGGAACCAGGACCTTGATTGTAGAACTGCATCAATATGACCGAGTAGGGGAAGCCTTACAGTCAACGTCACCGGCACATTATCTCTGATAGCTCCTTGCATGGAAGCGGTTCTCCCATCTAGGTCATGGAGGCAGCAGGCTGGGTGCCGGTGATGTAGCCGAGTACGAATTTCCTTGGGGAATCATGCAATCCGAGGAAGTGAACCTCTAACTACGACTGTAATCTGCTTCTTAGCCGCTGGAGAAGACTCTCCGAAAACCAGGGGAAAGCAGACGGTGCAGATTCAAATCATGAATCAACCGGCCAAAAAAAAAACTGCAAAGGGAGAGTTGCCGGAGACAGAGCGGCAAGGGGATAAGAATGAGTTCGACCTCGTTCGTGGGAAGAGAGAGAAATGGTGGAACGTGGAAGAATGGAGGGAAGGGGTTGTGATTTTGGTAAAAATCAAAATTTCGTGAAATATTATGGAGGGAAGGGAAGGGATTGTGATTTTTTTCCATTGGCGGGTAGAGACTTTTTCCTTGGATAAACCAATACAAATTCATTAGTATAAATTGGGGCTAATTTTACCCCCTTTATTAATTATTTGATGTCTTTATCATTACTATTTGCTCAACTGATCATGCGATATAGGTTGCTTAGCATGGAAGATCTCAATGTCATTGTTATGACTAGGTTGTCCTATTCTTCCCTATGCTTTAAAGAATCGTTATAGTTTTCTTTAGTTCGTAGAGATGTATGTGGTGTAGATGGAGTTGTTGTCTTCAGAATGTAAAGTATCTATATTGTACAATGTTTGATTGTTTACCATCCACTTGTATGTTCAGTGAAATGAAACTGATTACTCATAAAAAAATCAAAACAAATGCCTTTGGAAGAGCCCTTTATAAAATTAACTTATACTACAAGCACAACAGTACTTATGAGTTATAATGCTACGCTACTCTTTATATAACTACATGTAGTTAAATTCACCTAGATCTATACATAATATTGCTATTTCAGTGGGTCAAACTATTGAACTGGCTTCAGATTCAGAAAAACCGGCTATCGACAATATAACACAAACAACTACTAAGATGATACACTTATCGAGAAGTGATGACATCAACGTTAAGAAAGTGGATGTATCATTATCAAATTCGTTCAAATTACGAGAGGTATGTGCTGATAATGCATCCTAGTTAGAGCTGCAAATGAGCCCAGTCAAGTCGAGTTTTACCCTAGTTTGATCTCGGCTCTTTAATAAACGAGTCGACCTCGAGCCCAACTCGTTTACTGACGAGCCGAGTCGAGTCGAAGCTCGAGCTAGCTTGTTTGCTAATATATTGACTTTTATTTGGCACTTTATTTACTATATCATGATACATATGATTTATTTTGTTAGCTAATCTCATATTATACTTTGTTGGTATCATATATCACTTAGTTAATAAATCTTAACTACTCCAAATCATGTTATTTCATAGTATCGAAGCAATCTATGATACATAATTTCTTTTTAAAGTAGAAAATAAGATATATTTACTCACATACTCAACGTGTTAAACTTTATATACGGTGAGATATATAATTTAACAACCATATGAATTAAAATCATAAAATATAGATTGATTCGTCCATAATTCGGTAATCGAGTTGGCTCTCTAGTCTCTAGCCACATGTTGAGACGTATCATGAGCTCTAAACGAGCCAGCTCACGAGTTTAGCTCAACAAGCCACCCAGTCGAGCTAGCTCGCGAGCTTCTCAAGCTGAACAAAGCTTAACTCATGTTTGACTCGTTTATTAACGAGCCGAGTTTCGAACAAGCTTTTCTCGAGTCGAACGTCGAGCCGCTCGCGAACAGTTTAGCTCATTTGCAGCCCTAATCCTAGCTAGTCACTGTGTTGCAAGTTGACATGATTGACCATGGTATTTTTCTCCTCCATTAATAGTTTACGCCTTAAACTCATCACCCATAAGG